GGGTTAAATCGATGTACGATGATGACATTAAGGCAGTGTAATTTTTCCAATGGGTTTCAATTTGGACGAACAAGAGGCGTGGAACTGAATCTAATGAGAAAATCCTCTATAGTTGGTAAGTTTGATAGTTCACGGTTCTGACTCGTAAAGTACAATAAAGTCATGTTTAAGTCCATATTAAAATTCAAAGTAATCTGCTATATAATTGTATACATTGTTTCGTATAATATTCTGTCAAATTTTTGCTGAAATGCTTCGATGCCATTTCACATTTAACAAGGGAATTATAATAATCCGAGATCATTGAAGCTCCAATTTAAACCGACACTTCCAGAGACGAGATAATTAGATGGTAATTGTGAAAAGGAAATGATTAAAAACCGATCAACTCGCTTCCAATATATAAATGCTTAGTTTTAAATGATTCAGATAAAATAAGTGAGGTTTCATGGAAATAACTAACGTTTTAATGAATATAGCGAAATGTATTAAATGGATTTATGATAGATTTAATGCTTTAAGAAATGTGTACCTACCTTTTGATACAACAACTATAATCACGGATGGCACTTTTATTGATTAATCTGATCGACCCCATCCCCCATATTCCAGGAGTTACAAATGTACAATCACTCTGTACCCCTGGAACCATCCTCGATACTCCAGGAGTTACGATCACTTTCACTCTCTGTACCCCTGGAACCATCCTCGATACTCCAGGAGTTACGATCGCTTTCACTCTCTGTACCCCTGGAACCATCCTCGATACTCCAGGAGTTACAATCACTTTTGCTCTCTGTACCCCTGGAGCCATACTCGATACTCCTAGGGGTTACAATCACTTTCTCTCTCTGTACCCCTGGAACCATCCTCGATACTCCAGGGGTTACAATCACTTTCTCTCTCTGTACCCCTGGAGCCACCCTCCTTACTCCAGGAGTTACAATCACGTTCACTCTCTGCACCTCTGGAACATGCCACGACAAAATTGAAGGCAGAAGCGAAGTAATTTGATTGGTCCCAGAAGCAAAAAAACTGACCAATTACGCTTTTTTTCAAGATAACAATAGAGCGACACCCATCTTCACTGCCATCATGAAATAACTGACCTCGAGACTCGTTTAATGTACATCAAAGGAACTAATTAGTCTTTCCGTCTTGTCCACAAGGTGTCGCACATATAACCTTCGATTTTGCCATAAAATGTCCCATGGGTTCAGAGAGTGAAAGTGATTGTAACCCCTTGCGTATCTAGGATGAATCGGACTTTACTCCCAAAATGGCAGGTTGGTGGTGGAGATACGAAGACAATAATAGATTAACGAATAGTATTGATGAAGGTCCCTTTAAATGCGCGTCACGCGTGACCATACCGACACGACAAACTGTATGTGAGGTTTGTGGAAAACATGATAACCTTGTTGGTCACAATGTACTATGTACTCAAATCGGGGAAAAAACGAAAAGAACAAACGTTCAATTATGTACCTATATACAGTTGTGGGATCGCACAATGTTACACGATGTGGGATGTGTACACGACTGGAAAATTGGACGAAATAAGCTATCACACATTTGTACACATGTTGTGCGTTATGGTTGACATAAATTTAGAAATGACTTACAAATAAGTGTGGGATAGGGTTTATTTTTAAAAAAATTCTAAATTTATAAGATTACAACTAAGTATATTTCCTAATTAAGCCATTAATATATAGGTCGGACACGTGTAGATATATCAGATACACACTGAATAGTTAGATACACTCGTAATTTTAAGTGTTTTGTTTACAACGAGCCACACGTGACCAGCCTTAATGTACGGACACACATTATATATACAGTATATATCTAAACGTTAAACGGACGTCCTTTTTTATCGCAGCAATTCATCTTTTAAAATCTCATACCGTCAGAAAGGAAATTTTGTTTTCATTCCTTCTGTATTACTCTCATTTTTCATTCATTTTTAAACAAAAAATATATGCTTATGTAAGCCTTTAGTATCGTTGTTTTTCGGTTTTTACGCGTGCGACCCAGCCAGTACGGACCGGACCTGTAACGTATATACCCGTATACAAGTAAATTATTGTTGCCCGAGACACCATAACTCGCCACTCTCTGAGGTGTAAAACTATATACAACAAGACTAATTGATGCAGGTCCAGTGTTATTTCGAAAACGGTCGAATTAAAACTCACCTTTACAATCACCGATCAATTTTAATGTTCATGTGATCCCTATTTAGTAAAAATTTTCCGTTATTAATTTTCAATTCGTAATTTTACCAAAAGCAGAAAGGATCAGTATGCATGTATATCAAGATTTTTTTCGTTTAACTTTGTGAAGTTGACATAATCAATAATAAAATGTGTTGATTTGTTTAAATCTTTAAATGATCACTTAATCACCAAACTATGGAACTTTTTATCAAACAGTCTAAGCAAGACGCTCACTAAAGCCTTGTTAACGGACCTATTACAATGTATACATGCAAGCGTGTCCCTAGCATACAATGTAGTTGTTTTCTTTCATCCTCCATAATGCCTTGACTATTCTAGAGTGTTTAACTAAAAGGGAGAACATATTTTGTTCAAATTAAGTAGTAGAAAGGAGCTGCTGTATGCCTGAAGACAACTTGGTAACCTGATCATTCGAATATTATGTCAGGTGTCTACCCATCTTTCTACAGCGGTTGTAGTTTCTCCAGGAAATATGCTAATCACGATCCGTCAGCACTCTGGAAGGAACTTCAAAGGGACATAGCTGTTACTGGCAAGGGCCAGTTACAAGGTAAGACGTGTGTAACAAGCCCATACAGTGAAATGAATAGTTCTCTCGCCCCAATATCTCTGTCTGTAAGACGTCCATCTGACAGTCAACACAATGAAACAAAAATATATTCGTGATCGTTATAATCTATTCACAGGAATGACTTCCATTTACAAGTTCCATGGTTATTCTATACTGAAAATCACATTACTCTACACCATGACACGAAATTGTAAGTATTCCTAATGAAACACTAGACACGTCGCCGCGTTAAATCTGACTGAGAGCCGCACCACTTCTTAATTACATGTTAATGCGCAATTAACACTGCATTTATTCAAAATAAACGGAAAAAAGAGTACTGTTATTAAGAATTTTGCGGCAGTACTATTATAAAAATCAATTTCAATTTGAGATCATTCTATTTGTACGGTTGCTGTTTATGACGACATGAGGAACCGTGTTATTTTGGCTGCATATTTGAACTTGCTGACGTAAGCATTTGGTTAACCGGAAAACTTAAACGTGATCTTTGTTTCAAATTATGAAAATTGCATAACAACGGATGTCAGTCTACTGATCTGTCACTCAAAATGTATTCCTATCGACTTTATATTAAAATCTGGTAACAGTTTCTCGCTCATTGTTAACTCCGGAGGTAGATCTGGTGACAGTTTCTCGCTCATTGTTAACTCCGGAGGTAGATCTGGTGATAGTTTCTCGCTCATTGTTAACTCCGGAGGTAGATCTGGTGACAGTTTCTCGCTCACTGTTAACTCCGGAGGTAGATCTGGTGACAGTTTCTCGCTCACTGTTAACTCCGGAGGTAGATCTGGTAACAGTTTCTCGCTCACTGTTAACTCCGGAGGTAGATCTGGTGACAGTTTCTCGCTCACTGTTAACTCCGGAGGTAGATCTGGTAACAGTTTCTCGCTCACTGTTAACTCCGGAGGTAGATCTGGTAACAGTTTCTCGCTCATTGTTAACTCCGGAGGTAGATCTGGTGACAGTTTCTCGCTCATTGTTAACTCCGGAGGTAGATCTGTTAACAGTTTCTCGCTCACTGTTAACTCCGGAGGTAGATCTGGTGACAGTTTCTCGCTCACTGTTAACTCCGGAGGTAGATCTGGTGACAGTTTCTCGCTCACTGTTAACTCCGGAGGTAGATCTGGTGACAGTTTCTCGCTCACTGTTAACTCCGGAGGTAGATCTGGTAACAGTTTCTCGCTCACTGTTAACTCCGGAGGTAGATCTGGTAACAGTTTCTCGCTCACTGTTAACTCCGGAGGTAGATCTGGTGACAGTTTCTCGCTCATTGTTAACTCCGGAGGTAGATCTGTTAACAGTTTCTCGCTCACTGTTAACTCCGGAGGTAGATCTGGTGACAGTTTCTCGCTCACTGTTAACTCCGGAGGTAGATCTGGTGACAGTTTCAGACTCATTGTTAACTCCGGAGGTAGATCTGTTAACAGTTTCTCGCTCATTGTTAACTCCGGAGGTAGATCTGTTAACAGTTTCTCGCTCATTGTTAACTCCGGAGATAGATCTGTTAACAGTTTCTCGCTCACTGTTAACTCCGGAGATAGATCTGGTAACAGTTTCTCGCTCACTGTTAACTCCGGAGGTAAATCTGGTGACAGTTTCTCGCTCATTGTTAACTCCGGAGGTAGATCTGGTGACAGTTTCTCGCTCACTGTTAACTCCGGAGGTAGATCTGTTAACAGTTTCTCGCTCACTGTTAACTCCGGAGGTAGATCTGGTGACAGTTTCTCGCTCATTGTTAACTCCGGAGGTAGATCTGTTAACAGTTTCTCGCTCACTGTTAACTCCGGAGGTAGATCTGGTAACAGTTTCTCGCTCACTGTTAACTCCGGAGGTAGATCTGTTAACAGTTTCTCGCTCACTGTTAACTCCGGAGGTAGATCTGGTGACAGTTTCTCGCTCACTGTTAACTCCGGAGGTAGATCTGGTGACAGTTTCTCGCTCACTGTTAACTCCGGAGGTAGATCTGGTAACAGTTTCTCGCTCATTGTTAACTCCGGAGGTAGATCTGGTGACAGTTTCTCGCTCACTGTTAACTCCGGAGGTAGATCTGGTAACAGTTTCTCGCTCATTGTTAACTCCGGAGGTAGATCTGGTGACAGTTTCTCGCTCACTGTTAACTCCGGAGGTAGATCTGGTGACAGTTTCTCGCTCACTGTTAACTCCGGAGGTAGATCTGGTGACAGTTACTCGCTCACTGTTAACTCCGGAGGTAGATCTGGTAACAGTTTCTCGCTCATTGTTAACTCCGGAGGTAGATCTGGTGACAGTTTCTCGCTCACTGTTAACTCCGGAGGTAGATCTGGTGACAGTTTCTCGCTCACTGTTAACTCCGGAGGTAGATCTGGTAACAGTTTCTCGCTCACTGTTAACTCCGGAGGTAGATCTGGTGACAGTTTCTCGCTCACTGTTAACTCCGGAGGTAGATCTGGTGACAGTTTCTCGCTCACTGTTAACTCCGGAGGTAGATCTGGTGACAGTTTCTCGCTCATTGTTAACTCCGGAGGTAGATCTGGTGACAGTTTCTCGCTCACTGTTAACTCCGGAGGTAGATCTGGTAACAGTTTCTCGCTCATTGTTAACTCCGGAGGTAGATCTGTTAACAGTTTCTCGCTCACTGTTAACTCCGGAGGTAGATCTGGTGACAGTTTCTCGCTCATTGTTAACTCCGGAGGTAGATCTGTTAACAGTTTCTCGCTCACTGTTAACTCCGGAGGTAGATCTGGTAACAGTTTCTCGCTCACTGTTAACTCCGGAGGTAGATCTGTTAACAGTTTCTCGCTCACTGTTAACTCCGGAGGTAGATCTGGTGACAGTTTCTCGCTCACTGTTAACTCCGGAGGTAGATCTGGTGACAGTTTCTCGCTCACTGTTAACTCCGGAGGTAGATCTGGTAACAGTTTCTCGCTCATTGTTAACTCCGGAGGTAGATCTGGTAACAGTTTCTCGCTCACTGTTAACTCCGGAGGTAGATCTGGTGACAGTTTCTCGCTCACTGTTAACTCCGGAGGTAGATCTGGTAACAGTTTCTCGCTCACTGTTAACTCCGGAGGTAGATCTGGTGACAGTTTCTCGCTCACTGTTAACTCCGGAGGTAGATCTGGTAACAGTTTCTCGCTCACTGTTAACTCCGGAGGTAGATCTGGTGACAGTTTCTCGCTCACTGTTAACTCCGGAGGTAGATCTGGTGACAGTTTCTCGCTCACTGTTAACTCCGGAGGTAGATCTGGTAACAGTTTCTCGCTCATTGTTAACTCCGGAGGTAGATCTGGTGACAGTTTCTCGCTCACTGTTAACTCCGGAGGTAGATCTGGTGACAGTTTCTCGCTCACTGTTAACTCCGGAGGTAGATCTGGTGACAGTTTCTCGCTCATTGTTAACTCCGGAGGTAGATCTGGTAACAGTTTCTCGCTCACTGTTAACTCCGGAGGTAGATCTGGTGACAGTTTCTCGCTCACTGTTAACTCCGGAGGTAGATCTGTTAACAGTTTCTCGCTCACTGTTAACTCCGGAGGTAGATCTGGTGACAGTTTCTCGCTCATTGTTAACTCCGGAGGTAGATCTGGTGACAGTTTCTCGCTCACTGTTAACTCCGGAGGTAGATCTGGTGACAGTTTCTCGCTCACTGTTAACTCCGGAGGTAGATCTGGTGACAGTTTCTCGCTCATTGTTAACTCCGGAGGTAGATCTGGTGACAGTTTCTCGCTCATTGTTAACTCCGGAGGTAGATCTGGTGACAGTTTCTCGCTCACTGTTAACTCCGGAGGTAGATCTGGTGACAGTTTCTCGCTCATTGTTAACTCCGGAGGTAGATCTGGTAACAGTTTCTCGCTCACTGTTAACTCCGGAGGTAGATCTGGTAACAGTTTCTCGCTCACTGTTAACTCCGGAGGTAGATTTGTACAGATGTTTTATCAAAACTTAAAGCGACTATAATGTTAAAATAACACTACGAGAAAACGATATAAAACATTGTGTTTTCCAATAGTATATTACAAAACTAAGACTTTCTGTTAACTACTAAAATTTAAGGTCACTGCAACCATTTTTATTGATATCTACAAAATAAAGGATGTAAACATTGCGGTCTTGATCTAATTCATACATTACCGCTCAAAACCCTGATGTTGCGCATGCTTATAAGCCTAGAACGAAGCAATATGGCGGACGCAAATACGAAAAGGCGACGAGGACCTAAAAGTTATTTTACAGAAAATATAAGAAAGCGTAAGAGGAAGGAGCCAGACCAGAAAAGAGGACAGGCAAGAATCTTTAATAGACAGGAGATCGATAGATGGCAAAAAATGAATGAGGATCTTGGACTGAATACGGATTCGGAATTTGCGAAGCTGCTGCTTGACTGGGTAGCATAACGTTAGCCCTAAAATTATAACGTATCCGCCTGTCATTGATTATAATCAAATATCAAGTGTTTGACGCGTGAATATGTTATGAACAACACTACTAAAAGTGATAAGTGTTGAATGAAAATAGTTGTGTTATTCGCTTGAAATTACTATCGACAACGTGTGTTTGTTGATGACTGCAAGGCGGGGCCCAATTGGGGGTATTCGTTTTAAGTGTAAAAATATGACAGTACTGGTGTTACTGTGAGAATAACGACCGTGGTGATAAACATAACCTTCATAATAAACAGTGCAATATCTATTAATATGTACAGACAAAGTATCAATTTCTGTGCGTTTCTGCAAAATGATTTTTTTTCTTTTCCGATTGTTGGCCTCACTAGTTTAGCGCCCGCGATTGATAATTCTCGCACGACAAAGTCAAAACAAAACGAGGGATGTTTTTATGGTCGCCATAGTGATCACATTGAGCAATATTCTATTTCTTTGTGTGATAAGAAGCTGTACGTGTTTGGTGCTAGTGAATTTGCCTGTTGGTTCCGATGTAGTATACCTTGTTCTCATTTGAGTACGTGACATTACTTACTTGGAGTGACCAAGATTTACATGGCGGGTGTCGTCGACGTTACCGCTTACACTTCCGGAACACCTGATCTCATTCTTCTTGTACCTTTTCAGGAATCTGTATGTAAATTTTCTTTGGTTCATATTTTGCCCTAGTCTTATAAAATTTGAGTTTGGATTATAATTAGGTTGCCAAGTTGGTATAATCTTAATGATTTTTGCTGTCCTCGATATACCTTTCATTTATTTTCATCCTACTTTGTTTGCGTATCTTTGGGGGCCGATAATGTTCCAGTGGCGCAGAGGGCGAAAGTGGTCGTTACTCAACGAGTATCGAGGATGTGTGTCAATTTCAGTTGATTTTGACTCGTTTTTTTCTCATACAGCGAGAACGTGTAAACAATGTAGTAACGTCCATGCAACACCACGTAATGTTGTGTTTTTTGTTTTTTGTTTTTTTGTTGGGGGATGGGAGGTTGGGGGGTTTGGGGGGGGCGGTATTTGGTATTCAATTGGTCTGTGAATTTACATAAACACAGAAAAGAACAAAGGAACAACAATAATCTTCTTGTATGAAAACAGAAATATTAAAAAAAAAAAAAAAAAACTGGAATAGTTATCCTTTACAACTTCTGAAAGTGTGTCTACTGACACCAAAGTCGTGCTCCTATATGGGAACAGGGAAACTGCTAGGAGACAGTGAGGAACGTAGTGGAAACTATCGAACTGTATATTCTTGCAATGAATATTTCAGTAAAGAAAATCTCCACAGAGACAACTAGCCATTCTCATTAATTTTATCAAGTCGCATCTCTTGAAACTAATGCTTAGAGCATTTTGTAAGGACATAGGCTAGTTCGTGAATTACTGGGATGGAAAATCCTAAATGATAAAATTCAGTAGAAACACAAGTTTTGAAGTGTTGTTTTCTAGAGTTGTTTTCGTTTGTTTGAAGTATCTTATCAGTTTTCAAAACATGGATTGCTGCTGGTTAGATACGGTCACAGAGATATTAAAGATTTTATAGCATAAAAAATATAACTGTAAGGAATATGGTATTGATTTCTCGATCAAAAAATAAATCCGACATTCGAGAATCATCGGCGAATCTTGTCTACTGAGAATTTTCTTGTCTGAATTCAAATTGGTGTTCCTTATGATACAACTACATAAATAATATAAATATGCAGATAATGTAAAAATCCAATCATTTAAAACAGATTATATACCTGAAAGTTCATCACGCTTATGTCATGTTCACCGAAAAAGCTGCCCCTGACGACTTTTAAAACAAGGGGGAAAATTAAACTCGTATTCGATGAAACTAGGGCAAAATATGAAAGATTTATGAAACTAGGGCAAAATATGAAAGATTTATGAAACTAGGGCAAAATATGAAAGATTTATGAAACTAGGGCAAAATATACACGATTTATGAAACTAGGGCAAAATATGAAAGATTTGCACGTCTTGTCCGCAAGGTGTCGCACATGGAACATTAATTTTTTCCATGACATGTTGCAGGGGTGTAGGCAGCGAAAGTGATTGTAGCCCCTGGAGTATCGAGGATGTAGATGTAAGACCTATCGAGTGTTTGAAGTGAAACTGTATTTTTGAAAATGTGGAAAATGTACGGAAGCCTTGTTGAAACAGATCAACTAAATAAGATAAAAAGGATTTCATGAGCAACTTTATGTAAAAGAATGTCGTTATTACATTTATCTTATGAAGATGAAAAGATTGGTACAAACAAATGGAAACAAAATTATATTTATTACACATATATCGTTGACCTGAGGAATCCTCTGTTACTTCACTTATACACAATAAAATGGTTTAAACGTTAACTGAAAAAAAAATAAAAACAATGTTTGATCAATTCTTCCGCGCATGAAAAAGTATGGCGCCATCCTAGTCGCTGTCACTATTAATGACACGGATTCTTTTAAAATGCCTTGGTACACACTCAAGACTCTCGGAACGGGGATGGGTTTGACCACTGACAACATAGTTAGAGTTACTGGCTTGCATCGTCTGCTGACTGCCATGAAAATGGAAATTTACGGTGGAGTTGAAGGTTGTGTTCCCAGTGAACAAACCCCCGACAGATGGGAATGGCTGCTGATTTGGCCCCGATGTAGCATCACTCTCCCGACAGGTTGTAGTACAATCAGGTACTCCTCTGTTCCCTTCTCCTGTTGATGATATATTTGAAAGTCCCTTGAATTAGTCAGAGTTTAATCGGCTGTAATAATTCAGACTATTCACATTTTTGTAACCAGTTATCTGAACAATCTGATTACGAGGCACTCCACTGCCATCCAATTTCTTTACCAGTCGTTGTCTCACACTGAAATAGTAAAACATTATTTACCGTCATTTACGTCAAATCATCAATAAGGTTATAATTTTAACATTTATGCCAACTATATGGTATCTCACTATATTGGTCATGTAACTGTTACGACAAAACGTCGTAGTGATTAAATTTCTTTGCTTTTATATTATCATTTTTTCTTGAGCTGTTTAACGCATGTTTAGGCAAAACTAGGACAAATGTGCCTGTAGTTGGTCAAACGCCGATCAGTCTCAAGTCCTGAAGCCTCTTTCATTTCTGTCATAATTTGGTACGTCTTGTTGATTCCCATCGGACAGTTTTTCTACCATTGGGAGTTGGATGATTCTGGATTACAATATTTAAGACTTTTAATAAACATATTAAAGTGATTTATTTGATATTTTATTAGACTTGTAATTTTAAACCTTTTGTTTTCATGCTTTTCTGTTATATTTTAAAGACATCGTCTGTTGTGAAGTTGTAATAATAGTCTGATAAATTCTCCTTTTCCTACCTATTCAATCTTCAATTCCTGTTTATTCATTTTATTAGTTTGACTTTTTCAGTTATTTGTCATCGGAATTTGTTATTGTGTGATATTTTTATTTTAGAGTGCTATTTATATTACACAACGTGTGATTTACTGTAATTACTTATGTTTGCATCTCTGTTGATGGTCAGAAAAAAGGATTTGTCTGGATCACTTATTGCTGTAGGCCGCTTGGAAGCATATATTTTGTACAAAGCTACTGGATCTTTGTTAACAATTCCTGGCAGTGCATAAGCGCTAGGTTTTACTTTTCGTAGGTCACGTGGATTGGAACCTGTTCTGGTTTTTGTTTGGCGTTCCTGGCTGTAAACAATGTACTATTCACTATTTTCTACATCAGTTTTCAATTCAACATCTCCCCATTTCAAATCATGGGTTTCTTTTCCAGGGCGCATTCCAAAATGCATTGTACAAATCATACACATAGAGTAGAGAAGTGCAGCAGGTGATTGCATTCCTAATGTATTTGTTTCACATAATTGTTCCAGTTCCATGTCTGTTAGCTCATCTGCTGCCCTGGGCTTATTTCCTTTCCCCATTCCTTTCAGTTGCTTTTGTTTTGTTTTAAGAACAGCCCTGCATTTTTGAAATTGTAAATCACACATTAGGCCAACGGGATAATTCTTTTCCTTCAAATATCTTTCTAAACTGCCCATATAGCTTCTAAGTGTAGTTGGCTCATACTCAGAACCATTCTTGCGTTTAACAGAGGAAGAAACATTGAAATGTTTGTGTCAAGTTCACTCGGTGGGATTACTTCCGGTTGTCTCCCCTCCCCACACTGTATCAGATAAACCTTGAAAACACTCAGATCTTGCTCAGTTTTCCTTTTAGTATCAAGATTTTGTTGATTTTTAAGAAAGTTGTCTAATTCATCCGCATTAACTTTCCTAAATTGCTTACTGTTGGTTGCTGCTGTGGCTGGTTCTGATTCTACATCAAGTGCAATCTTATCAGCTGCTGGCTCATTCACTT